ATTACCTTTAGTAAAACTTTACTCGCATGGGATATCAAAGAGATTGTCCGATGATTTCCGCATTCCATTGGGTCACCTCCCTTTGGAATGGGCACAAATATGGATCTCTTCCAATCATTTGGCCAGATAGTTGTCTTTCAGATTTCTTGGCATGGATGAGTGAGTGCCTCCTGTGCCGCCTCACTTTCTTGAAAGATTTCAATTTTTATTCCACCAAGTCTTGGTACCTTGGTCTTCACTAATTCCTTCAATGCACCTTGGACTTCTTCCTTCAGTATCATTAGCTCTTGATCATATGCTACCTCTTGAAATTGTTGAACATCAACCATTACCTTTTGGTATAATGACTCTGTGTATTCCCTCTATCTTCTTTTGATGCGTTCTGCATCCTTCAATAATTTGCTCAGAGAATCCTTCAATAATGAAAGTCGAGGCTTGAATTTTTTCTTCAGTTCCCCCAGCTTGAGAAATGCTGAGCATGTTCTTCCCTTTTGGTTTTCTGACTCCGAATCTTTGCACATTTCGTTGTAATGTTTGACTTTGCCTTCTCAAGATGACCTTAGAAATTTTCAGTTCTAAACAATGCCTGCACATTCTACTTTTTTAAGGGTTATTTTTAAAAAGTGTCCTGGAGCCCAACTTGGTACCCATGGGATAGAGCACAACTTGTTCTTGTTAAGTCTCATGACGCTCGTTCAGATTCAGAGCAAGCCTGTTAGGGTTTCTGAGGCTGTATCTTTAGGGGTGCAGAAAGTCTCATCATTCTTCCATGGAGTGGCTGGTGGGTTTGAACCGCCAATCATATTGTTCACACTCCAGTGCTTATCCTGCAGAGCTACTGTGGTCCCAGGCACAAAAGGTTCCTTGGTGATCATGTGCAGTGTGGCTGAGAGTCACTGGCCTAGGGCCAACACTTGGCACACAGTAAGCATTCTGTTTTCGCCCACATGAGTCTCTGACCTGGAATGTGGTTGCATCAGCGGCATTCAGGGAGGGCTTCCTGGAAGATGCAGGGCTTGCAGAAGGAAGAATGTGGTTCTGCAGGTGGATCTTTGGTCATGGATGGCTTTTCCTGGCATAAGATAGGGAGGACTTGGCAGTACACCAAAGATCCGAACAGAGGGAGTGAAGGGAAGGGGCTGAGGGCGAGGAGAAGAGGGTGGAGCAGAGAGTCAGGCCAGGGAAGACCAGGTGTTTACTACAGGGCTGGAATGCACTGTCCAGCAGGTCCCAGGGTTTCTCCCATTTGAGGACATCTCTGGGGACTGTCCTAGGTCCACATGCCTACTTGGGAAGAGGTCTTGTGGAGAAATGGTGCTAGAAGTCCCCTCCCCTGACCCCAATTTGCATTTCAGGGTGAAGCTCCCCATATAGGTAGGAGTGAGGAGCAGAGAGGCTCAGGAGTCTCATCAGGGAGTGGTGAAGTGCCCTCCTCCCCTCCAGCTCTGCAGGACACCCTGCAGGTGACACTGTGGGCCACACGGAAGCCAGGACCCCATCTGAAGCCTTGAAGTAGCTGGGAAACCCCCATTCAGGGTTCCTCTGGTTGGGGGCCCTCCCTCAGGGCTCCTTTGGAAATTCCTCCACATTGCTGAGTTCGGAACAAGGTTTGGGTCTCCTTCCACAGACTCTGCTCTGTGGGTTTCTTCACCCAAGGCCCAGACATCAAGGCCAAGGGAGCCCAAGTCCCTTCTGTGGTCT